TTACTATTAGTTATTAACTATTTAATTTACGTTAACGTAACTACTATAGTATACTACTATTTATTATATATATATATATATATATATATATATATATAAAGTATTATAAACTGTTACAAAAGTTACTTCATAAAAAATTGTCCATCTTTATTTTGCACATTTAATGGAGTCGCTTTGAATGTTCACAAGTCTGGCAGTTGTTATATCAAGAAGCGTTTCATTGTTAGTTTTAAGCGACGATTTTTGTATCAATTTATAAAATAATGTGCAATAGATGTCCAGAATTATACATCAGTGAAATTGGAAGAAAATTGGACACCGGATTCACTGAACATAATAAAAAACATCCCATACTTGTATTTACCACCATTGCAACTCAAAAAATCCACATTATATCTGTACAAAACATTGTAATTTTAAACAAAGAACCAGACATCGGAAGCTATGAACAAAACAGCCCTACCCTAAACCAAAATTTCACCTTGAAACTTGGATTCTTTGATTCCAGCTCTGAAAAAAAACAATTCCACAAATTTAAAAGAACCAGTAAAGAAATAAGAATAATTATCTGAACTAAATTATTACTAGACTCTAGCCAGTATCTAATATGGTAATCCTCTCTGAATACAAATACTACATAAAATATCATATGTTGCATTAAAACAGTTTCAAGTTGACAAAAAAATTATCTAATTCCACATTTCATTTATTTTGTTGCTTTCATCATAACTTTGGTCTATATCAATGTCTATGTCACGATTCTATATCAACACTTCGAACCTCCTCCTTCACAGCAACTTCCTGTTCTCAGCTTGAGACATTCGCAGCTTTCCCAGATGCCTTAAGGCATTTCATTAACCATGCTTATCACACAGATTAGTCGAGTCTGTCACTCAACAAAATGTGAGTTAATAATCTTCACACTCCTCTAGTAAATACTAATCAAATTATATAATACATAGGCAACTAGCACAAAATCTGCTACATTCACTAAATGAATAAACCTTAATTCTGAGAGCGGAGCAAAGACAAACAACAGTTTCTGACTGCTCCTTGTTACCTTTCAGAACTTGAAAGTTTTTAAACCAAAATACCTATGTGTATGTACCAAGGAATTTGACTTGAACACCCCGGGGTATCAAGATACATATACTAAGCTGTGAAGCAATCTCCGGTCATGTGACTTCTTTGTTTCATACTGTATATACTGTATTCATGTGTCTCTGTAAATTACATTATTGATATGAAGAAAAATCGTTATAAAATCACAGTTATATGTCACATCTGTCAGGAAGTTTTCATGGGAGGTCAGATCAATGTAAAATCATTCCGTGCACAGAAAAAAAAAGTCGTATTTAAAAGGAAGTCATTATTGGGACTGGTCGAATCCACCAGGGACTACTGAATATTATCTGATGTGCAATCATATGAACAATGAAAAGATAAAATAATAAATGTATAACAAGAATATAAATATGGTGAAGAAAATATTCATTTACAATTAAAAACAAAAAAGGGATTTGTGTGAACATTCAAGTATAATAAAAATGTAGAAGTAAACTGTAAATGTAGCTATAACCACGTATATACACTTTTTAGAAAAGAAAGTGGAAGGTATTAAAATGTCCATATAGACATACATAAGTCTACCACTTAAAGTGACAACCCTCTGTCCCTGCTGATTGAAGGCTTCTCAGGGTTACTAAATCAATTGTGAAAAAAGGTATACCTCTGGGAGATTTTGAAATCAAATGGTTAATCTGAATGTTTGATTAAAAAAATTTTCTCCATTCATGACAAATAAAGGAAAAAGAACAGGACTCAAGAAGAAAATGTTGTATTTCAATTACCTTTTAAGATTAATAATATCATTAAGAATGCTTTGAAGGAATCTGGTTTGCCTACATGTATGATGAAAAGCCTGGACATTTGCTTAAATTGCATGTTTTATGCTCAGAAATACGAGATACGACATGAATTCTGACATTGACATTTGGTCATTGATCCTGAGAGTCTTCTTTTAGAATGCAGAAGTTTTTCTTGAATTATTATGGTTTAAAGCACAGTATTTTTGTCACTACTATCAAAAGTGTAATTTTGAACACAAAATAATACAGTTTGTTTTAATTATTAACCTGGTTTTTCAGGCAAGCATGGGACCTAGCTGTAGATATATGCCTATCTCAACTTCCAGATATCCTGGCAGGAACTGCAGTATTTCGACACAGCCCTTTTTTTGCTGAACAGCTAACAGCATTTCAGGTGTGGTTGAACTTTGGATCAGAGATCCAGAATCCTCCAGAACAACTTCCTATTGTTTTACAGGTAAGTAAAACCTTACAATATTCATCTGGACTTAATTGTTTACTTTTACAGGCTGTATTACTTCAGGTATTCCCTATTTCTGTAATTAGCCTTTTTTCTCTTTATCTTCCTTGAGGTAAAGTTGTACAAACTTAACAGTTCAATGTATTTTTTTTCTCATCTATTTTAGAATGTGCTGTAGAATTTTTAATTTTTTCATAATCTAATTAAAAAATAGCAAATAAAGAATTACTTAACACTTTTGACACAGGCTTGGTCAATTTGACCAACCACATGACCTTTTTTTACTCATTTAAAGTCTTTATAGATTTAATACTTCTAACTCTCAATATAGTGTGTATATCTTCACAAAATTTGGCAGTCTTTCAGTTAACATTATAAGTCATTCACAAAC